TACTCCAATATCCGCTAATTCAGCAGGAAACTATGACAACTAGTCTCCGTGTACGGAATCATTCTCTCGCCCGTATCAATCTCGATGACGTGTCACTGCATGTAGATAATTAAAATTATATAAGAAAAAAGTTTTTTTTCTATTTATTTTTTTGCTTCAGTCATATTCACTTCTGTTAATACGAAAGTGAAAGCATCAGTTCGAAGCCAATTAGCTCTTCTTTTTTTTTATTCAGTCATATTCAAAAATCATTAGTCTATTACCATTTCTTTCCTTTATAGGGTCAGTTTTTTAAATGTTGTGGGCTTTTACATGGAATTGTAGACTAATGATTCATAGGTTAACTACTTGAATAAGTTGTCATTGAAGGTAGATCTATATATATATAGAAAAAGGAAAACAAGAACTGAATCTTAATAACTTCACGAAAAAAATCAGTAACTTTCATGAATCTTATAAAAACTAGTATCAAATTTGTTAAAATCTGCTAGTTTAAAATTTAGTCAAATGTTATAGATTATGTCAAACATTTAATAATCATGTTCCTTAAAAAATGCCTGATTTTAATTAGTATGACTAGCTAAAACCAATCAGATTTCTATTTATTAAGTTAAAACAAAAAGACACTCTGTTTTGTTTTCTTTGAAAATGCTCTAAGCATATAGTATTCATTAAGCAACTTTCCAAAATCAATAATAATGACTAAAAGTTTATATTAGAAATTCAAAGAATTACATGTAAAAGATTAGTCTTCGTTGGCCAAAAAAGTAAATAAAGCGTGCGAGGTCTATAAATCACATGCTTGAGCAGTTAGTGGCGGTTAGAACGGTAAATAAAGAGATTGAAAACTAAAACAACTAATCACGTTAAAAAAGCAAAACTAAGAAGAATCAATTTGTACTACACGACGTCGTATAAATACATAACGGCCGTCTTAACGGCTCTTTTTGGTGTCGTCTTCTTTTTTTTTTTTTCCTTCCTTCTTCAGATTCTATAAGAAGGCCAATCTATCTCCAAACTCGTACATTCACTGTCTTTTAA